AAACGGTAGAGCGATAAAATAATGTAGAATTACTTCACTATACCAGTTATATAGAAACGGGTCTAAAATATTACATTTCAGATACAATAATAGGCATACAATTTTGATTTAGTGCACCATGACTAGACAAAATACTTCAAAAAAAGTAAAAATAAGTAATACCTCAAGCTAACACAACAATGTTCTCTACTTCCTTGAACCAATCAAAGTTAAAATCTCCCCTATTTAGTATTCCACGTGGAGCACATTTCGATTTAAAATATAATTATATATATGTATTTATATATAATAAATAAAATAACATTGATTTTATATCGATAATACTAACAAACAAGCACGCAAAGTAGAACTCTACTTTACACAAGTAATAGCGAATACTTGTTCTGATTTTGATATAATATTACAGTTTTAATTAATAATTACTATTAATTTCATATGTAATATTTAATAGTATGACTAAAAGAAATATACAACTAACTGTAGTTATAACATTTTGGTAGTTGAAATAAAAATCAAAATATGGACACTACAAAATTGCTGCAATTACTCTCCGGTTTTAAGTGCATAGATTATCTCTTCGAATTTATCTCGAAAGTGGCTTTGATTAGTATTAAACATTTTAATATATTTTTTTAAAAAAGCTATAAAAATGTGTTATTTCACCCCTTAAGTGTTTTAGCTACATGCTCTTATGTGTTTAATCAATAATCATATAAATTAAACTACATAAAATACAGTATTTTTCACAATGCCCGTTGAAGTGTAAATAAATGACTAATAACTGTTGGCATACATTTTTGAGTTTTAACATTATAAGAACAGTTATGTATACACTATACAGTAAAACATTTTATAGATTTTATTCAGTTGTTTGGGAAAAATAAGTTTTTTGTTTGAACCTTAACTATACTGAAATATAAGATAGTAAGGGAATCTGAATGTATGAACACAATAATTATAAAATGTGACTAAATTTAATTATTTTTGTCATATAATTGGAAGCTATGATATTTTAGCTTTGTATTTTTTGGTATTTTACTGCGATACTAGGTTTTACAATGCAAGAAAATAAATAGTTCAAACATTTAAGAACACAAATAACATAACAAAATACTTTTAAAACCCAACTTATTTACGAAAAAGAAATATAATATTTCTGTAATAGTAGTTTTTGTAATGTATAATGTTAAAACTTAATAATGAATAATACCTACAGTTTTTTGAAAATTATTTATATTACAACATGAAAAACAACTTGTTTCCTATAAGATAATATATAAAATTGTAGAAATAGTTGAAAATAAATTGTATATTATAATGTAAGAAAATAAATCGTTAACATTGTGTATAAACATAAGGTTGAAATAAAATGTATAACGCAAGATTAATGCATATTATTTAATGTTAAACTACAAATCATTAAAAGATCCGCTACAGTTTTTGGCGAATTTCTAACAAATGATAATTTCAATGATTTCTTTCTATAATTATTGTAATTTCCTTTAAGGTACATAATCACAATAACAATATGTGAAACAAAGATGTGTTTTTTAGATATTTATAAAATTATTAGGTATATTTTGCAATCGGCCATAACACTTCTCATCAATTTCTTACCCAATTTTCTATATTATAGATACTATTATTATGTACCATTTATCTTTTCTGCTTCTTAATATAAATAATAAACATTGATTATACTATCACTATGGGATAAGAATATTTCATTTTCTTCAATTTTATTGCTGTTATTCTATAAATATTTTAAAATTTTGATTAACTATGTTTGAAAAAAAAAAATGTAAAAGCTTGTATTTAAATAATACTATATGTACGATGGGTACGATTAACATACCCTATTGTTAATTATGTTGTTGCATTTAATAAAATTACAATTAATTATGTAATAAATCATTTAACCAAGTGATGATAAACAGTAATCTTCAACAAAAACTAAAAAAGTTACATTGTTTAATCGACATTTGTCGAAAAAAGTTCAACTCCGAACCTAATGAAAAACTAAAAGTTTCATTCTAAAATATATTTTCCAAAAGCGAGATTGTCTTAATAAAACGCAAGGTATATTGATTTATTTGATTTAAGGTGGTTAAAAAATACATATAAAAAAAATATTTTCGGCCTATACTAGGCTGATAAAAAAACAATAAAGGAAATATATTCCTTCAAAATTTAAATGTCATCTTTAAAATACAAAAAACAAAATATTAAAATAACAACAGTTTTAACTCAAGCCATCCCAAATTCTTATGTAAAGGAGGACTCATGGTCGAAGAGGTGATTTAAATGGCATTGCGTTGGTGCTCACTATCTACTATAAAAAACTATAAAGGGGCCATGAACAAAGCTTTAAAAAAAAATTGTCCATCCTTATACATATTCCAGATAAATACCTATATTATGTTTTATATTCTAATACATAATCCATATTATGTATTATACTTATATCCTCTTTATGATCAAGCCCTAATTGCCATTGAGCTTAACCCTAAGTAGATATACTCTATATAAGGGATGTTAAGTCTTACAGCGAAAAATTAAAATCCATTCGGCAGGCTGAGGTGTGCTACAAAATTTCAGTCATGTGTGCATTATCCAACAGGCTGCCTAATGCATGACTTACTCAAGTAAATCCTACAAAAAGTAATAAATTATATTCAAAATCTGTTATCCAAAATTAAAACAGCAGTGGTAAATTTTGGTAATGCGAACCAACCTCGTAACTTCAATTTTTTTTACATATTAAAATAATATAGATTACATTTTAAGTTTTGTTTATTTCCAATTAATTTGTACCTATAATAGACGAATAATTAATTGCGCTTATGAAAAGTTTCATCGTGTAAATTCTAATGTAATATACAACATGTATTATTGTTGGTTAAAAATAATTGCAATAATAACAATATAATATTTTAGATGTAATACAAAACCGCTGTCAAAGCAATACCCCCGGAACGTTGTGGAGCCGGTTATAGTGACGGACGTGAACTCGCCGTCAGACTTCTATGTACAGCTCCAAGCTAACAGCAATGTGTTGTCGATGATCAAAGAAGAGCTGGCCAAGCACGCAAACGCCAAGCACATCAGCGTCAACATAGGCCACAACAATTGCCAAGTCTACTCGGTTTTGGCATCGAACCAACGCAATGGTGTCAATGTAAGATTGTAAACGGGTACGAAGAAAACGGACAGAAGTGGCTGACGGTTCACAGCGTTGATTATGGCTTTGTGGGAACGGTGAACCGAGATCGGATGCGGAAATATCCCTACCAGTTGAAAACAATACCACTTTTGGCGTTCAATTGTGCTCCGGACGATTTAAAGCCCATAAATCAAACTAGGGTTTGGTCCGACGATGAAGCGAACAATCTGTTTTGTAAGTTGAAGTTTGCCGGAAGTCCTGGACGTTTTACTTGTATCCCGCCGTGGCCAGAGGAGAAGTCATGGAAGTCATGACCTGTACCCGTTGTTGATAAGAAGCGCGTTGTGCTTTTTCGGCCACGGCTCGTCTGGTGGTTCCTACCGAAACGAACAAGTGGAAAACGAGCTGATAAAATCGACGGCGTTGCATCACTGTTATAATAAATTATTATGATTGATTTAAATTCTGACGTGTATAAAATAAACATCTACGTATGTAATTTCTAGCGGTCGTCACTAAGCAACGGGTAGATAAATAAATTTTTTTTTCTTTATTAATACTTTCCGAGTTTGTTTTTACCCTTCACTTTGATATCGACTTGTATACACCAACTAGCAAGTACCTACAAAAAACTGACATATAGATAATGTATTAACTTTAAAACATATAGTTATTATGTAAAATAAATAATAGGATAGATGTGCCAGTTTTGGCCACCGTATCAATAATGTACCAGTTTTAATTTATTTGTTTATTGATGGGCTTGGACCTTAGTAAGCTGTAATGGTTTTAGAAAACGGCAGTTAAAAGGTTTAACGGTACCTATATAATATTTTTATTCTTTAGGCGAACGAATCAACTTGTCCGTATTTTTATTATTTTATTATTACTTATTACTTTATCTAATTTATCAACTTTACCTTATAGGTTTCGCCGCCAGAACAACGGACTTTATTATATAACGGGGAGCGTTACCTGACTTCACCTAAACGTGAGTTTTTTAAATAGTGACGTACATATTTGATTAATATTTTGAATTAAGAATTATTTGCTGAGTCGATAACAAGTTTTGGATAATTAGTTTCAGTTATTAAAGTTTAAAATTTAGGACGGGAGGAAGGGTAGAGAGTAGAGATGTTTTTATCTGCACGCATTACTCAACCTTCCCCTCCCGTCATAACTTTTAAAATTGAAAACTAATTACCCAAAACTGGTTATCGACCAGTCAAAATGTTCATCAAATTTTTATTAATTTAAAAATTTAATAAAATATACACGTTATGATTTAAAATTCAGTTCATACGGTTTTAAAACATTTACATAATACACTAATAACAACAATATAATTACATAAACGAAATATTCCTATTTTACTTATTTAATTAAACTTAGGCCTCGTTTTTTATTTAAAAGCTATAATTAGGGAAAATTGATACATATTTTATTATTTTTTTAATTACCTGAAATCATACGTTTTTTCGAATTCTTAGAGAAGCTCATAATCCCATAAACTAAATAGGTAAGTAACTTAAAAAAAATATTTTTCATCATCTATACTCTATGACTACTTCCGTTGAATGTTTTTGCTCTAATTTCTAATAAGGCTGCATATATTACAGTTGTTTAATATTAATAATATTGTATGCATTATACTAAAATAAAAGTCCTAATACCTTTAAAATCAAAATTTGTCAGCAAAAACAAAATGTCAGAAACTTATCAGTCCCGGTCTAAGTTTCCCTTCGGTTTGTTCTGTGTTATTATTACTGATAAGATTTGATAAGATGTGACTGATAATAATCTCAAATCGATAATCAGTATTCAGCTATAATATTACTGTATGATTGAACTTCACAAGGCACTCACGAGTATTGTAATAATTATTCTTAGAAAACAAATGACTAAATGTATAATATTCATCATACTTACACAGTAGACAGTAGTTCTTCTACAGTTTTTGCTATTAGTTCTTTTCTTTGTAAATCAATTGTATTAGTGTCGTGTACAAATGATTGGATATCGACTCAAAAACAAAGGTTGGTTAATATTATACTGCATTTAGTACTACTAATTTTTACACTAGTCGATAGGATAACTCAAGTTACCAGTAAGGTATAAACAAATCGTTTTAATTCTTTTTAAATCAAAACTATCTGTCTACGGTAAACAAACTAGTATTTGTTTGTAATCAAATATATGTGGTCAATTGAGCTTTATTTTTTTTAAATTTATACTTACATTTTGTTAAATTTTTTTGATAATAATTACAGATGGAAAACCTGAGTACGGAGTAGAAGATTCAAATTTTGAATTGACCTTTTATTCAACTTTTGTTTACAAGCCATTCACGTCACTGGATTTACAAAGTAATTAGGTCCTGATTATAAAGTATCGTAACCAAATGTATGTCTACATGAGAAAATTCAAACATCAATACTTGCGGGATCTACTGAAAGCAGAAAGAGTACCCGAGTATCACAGGTAGTCAAAGTAAATAATTATGCATTTATTTTACATAACCCGCTACGAGAAATCTGCAAATACAAAGCATCAGATCAATATTTCTCTGAGGGAAATATATCAATAATAAAATACAATTACAAACTAATAAAAAAAAAAATAATATTTTTTTCTGATAGTGCTTAATTATAATACGAGGCCGCAATCACCATATTAGTACTTCCCAAAATGAGTGCCAAGACTTTGACAAGCTGTGAAGCACCAGAAACAAAAAAAACATCTCGATCAACTGTTGGCTGTTCAGTAAGATTGTATAACTGCTCTGAACCTAATACAAAAATTAAGGTAAAGTGTTAGCACTACAAAATGATTGTATTTGTTATTATTCATCTTTCTTTTTTTTTATTATATGATAAGGTATTTTGTTGAATGAAACGATAAGTAATCTCTTACTCTTACTAGTCAACTGTTAGGCAAAGTAAACTAGAGAAGTTTATTGACAGGTATTTAAATGGGTATTTTGAAAAAAAGTTAAAAGTAATAATACAGAAATGTTATTTAATTAGTCTATATGAAAACTGATTAGTTCTTTATTTAATCTATCATTTATTTTTTAGAAACGGCCAGCATTACAGCTAGTTTACTGCCTGCAACAACGAACACTTTACAACTTCAATTTTTTTTAAATTTTAAGTAGAGTGATACCGCTGATGACAATATCACAAAAAAGATTGTATCAAACTAAATAATTTTTCTTGAGAGGTAACACACAAGTATTTAATATTTATTATTGCATAAGTTGTATGTCCTTGATACTTTTTGAGTCTGTTTAATATTGTGGTTTTAATAAAATACATTTAGAAGTATTGATATTTCTGTTTAATCATTTTTTTAGAACCAAATACTTAATTATTTTATCAAACGATCTAAACTGTAATTAAAATTGAAAAAATTGAATATTTTTAAACATAAGATTAAGCCAATAAAATATCATACATTTTTATTTTAGGATAAAACTGTTTCCTGTTCTGGTGCATGGATGAATAAGATGAATGATTATAAGTGCACTTAACCTGCTCGGAGAATTTCTTGTAAATTTTTTTCACCAACATCTGTTAAAACATGATTTATGGAATCGTTATTGGTTAGTAAATGATCATATTTTATTATTTAATTTCGGATTATTATTTAAATAGCTTTATTTATACTTTTTTTACAATCCAGTTATTGACTGCGGATTGGTTAATTTGACGTACGGTGCTGATTACTTTACTACCGTTCCAGTTTATATAAAGGACAAATATAGGCTGGACTCATTGGCTATATTCATATAGGTTGGACAAAGAGCCATACGAGCTGGAAGTGAGCGACCTGGAAAAGTATACAAGTATGATTTCCAATATCTTTTTTGACTTAGAAAACATTTATTAACAAACAGTGGTGTCACTGTTATTATTCAACTACAACAAATTATGCAAAGCGTAAAAGATACGTGTTTATTTGTTAAACACGATGAAATAATTTAAAATGCCATTTAATTTGTGCAAATGTGACTAATCCACAATGTTAAAAAACATAATATTAAATTGATAATTTTTATATGTATCTGTGTCTTTTTGTATGTACCGACGTTGCAGAGTCTATCTTCATTGCTCTAAAGATGGACTCTACAATGGCTCCGTAACGTCATATACAAAGACATGGATATGTCCCAAATTATAGAGTTCTCTTTCAATTGGTGAACATTTTAGTACTATAATATTATATGAAAGTTGATATAATATTAATATTTTGTTACTGGATACTTAATTCAATTCAAAGAAATTTGATTATGTAATATTGTCCACGAAGACTATTTATAAAAATTTTTCATTTTTAGGAGACAAGAATCATCCTTAAATGCAATGTGTACATAAATCTGTCGGTGCTGATGAAGATCTATTAGTTCGCCCCCGATCAATTTTCAACTATGTTAATCGATCTCATTTGTACGCAGAGATAATTGATAAAATATGATAATTACCGACTATTAATTTTAATTGGTATACATTACGCCATTACGGCATTAACAATTTCGATGAATTGTTGTGTATTTTTAAACATTTAGACAAATTATCTTTTTAAAAATGTTTAAACTAAACTTGTTTAAGACCCTAACTCTTATTTAACAGAAACTTATTTCCTTTATGGCAATCTAATATGAATGTACAATTTATTTTAGATACTTATTTGTGTGTTAAATATGTTATTGAATATACTGGTAATAGCCAACGTGGTATACTAAACTTGTTTTATGATCTGTTAAAATTTCGATTTTGCTTCAACAACTTTACCTATCAAGTAATATTAAATTTTTGTCGTGTCGTTTATGCTAACAAACAAAATTGTTATTTTACTGTTGAAGAATTATTGTACTTTTGCATTGTTACCATCGATTTAATAATGTATTAAGTTTATAACATATGCCATTTAAAATTTTAAGGGGAAAATATATTCTAATAAAGCAAAACTATTTTTAATGTTATAGTTGAATTTAATACAATTAAGTATTTAACTGATTTTTGAACAGTCATTATTACTAGATACGGCTTTACACTATTTTTCCACCCCAACATTATTAAGTCATGTACTTGTATTATATGAATCATCTCTGACATTAACTGTTAAATTACATTAAGTTTTGTAAAAAAAAGTTTGTATTTAAATTGCTCATTTTCATAGATGTAGTAATTGTAAGATAATAAGATCTTCTATATAAATACAAATGTAATGCTGTTCGTAATCGATTTGTTTCATTTTTTTTAATTTGTGTAATAGTCCAAATAAGATTTAGTGGAAAGAAAAATGTGGAAAGTTGCCCTAAAAGTTTACAATTAAAAATGTCAGTGAAAGTTTATTCCAATTAATGGATTACCATTTACCTTTATAGTAATTATATAGTATTTTAAATAATTAGTAATTATTTTAGTAGCGTTATTTAATTTACTATTTTTTTAATTTTTTTAAGTGCCTAAGGGCATTAAATTTAATTTACTATAAAAAAATAATGTTTATGTACGACTATGATCAAGTCATTTTTTAGTAGGTATAGTATTATTGTTTTTCATTTGACAATCTTGAGGCCAAATTGAGTCGAATACAAACGTATAAGTGTTTTAGTCTAGGACAATACAAAATATTAATTCAAAATGTTCTATTAAGTTTAACTTAAGTTGAAATAAAAATTGTAAAGTTATATATTAGGCGCAACTAAACTAAAATTTTGAGGGTCTAAATCTTATAGTTATACTTAAATAATATTTGTTGATCGTTAATTGTAACTTAACATTGTAATACTTTTTGTACTTGATACATTTAAGTAGACAACAGATATTCCAGAGAAAAATTACAAAAAAAAAAAATAATAATAATCGAATTGGTGGTTAAACAATTATTTTGAATTCATACACATTTTTAAAATGATGTAAAACTGAATTTGTATTGTATTTTATTTATAAATGTATTGATATTTAATAAATTAGGCAATTAAGTAGGTACATATAAAAACTCTTATGAGGCCTCGCGACGGTGATTATATAGGCAACTTTACACTAAAACCATTTATGATAAAATTTGTGAACATAAATATTCATTTTTTTTTCTATTATTTTTCAATTTTTGTAAGCTATAATAGCTATTTTTTCTTATTATTTGTTTTAATTTTTTTTTTAAAGTACTGTAAAATATTGGAAAATAATATGCTACAATCGATAGAAAAGATAATAATTAATGGGGAATTCATAACATTTTTCAGAAAGGAAATTGGACTTAATGAGAACACAGGATAATGGAAATGCCAATGTTCTATTTACGCTAAATTTTTATACAGCCTCTAGGCACCTTTAACCTATGAAAATATCTCATTTCGACCATGAAGTTATAAGTTGTACTTTTTGCGGGGCACCATTTTTATTTTGTATCAAATAACTGGTTTAAATTATCTAAATTGTAATTATATGTATTAACTAATAATACGAATTAATTATATATTTATAGTTAAGCTGACTGCAGACTGAGTACAAAATACCCTATAGAAACTAGAAAGTATTCTTTTTTTTTTTTTTAGTATTCGGCAAAGATTTATTGACTTTTTAAATATAAATATGTAACATATGTATTTAGTTGATTATTTTATTAAATAATAATTTACTGAACATTTTGACTGGTCGATAACAAGTTTTAAATAATTAAAATGGGTACACAAGACTTAATAGGGTTTCTCTAATATCGCATAACTCTGAATTTTAAAGACACGATTTTAACTACCGTCGATTAAAAACTTGTGAAAAGACCTTCGAGAATGTTCAATATGCGATTTAAAAGTCTTTGTGAAGAGGGTCGATTTTTTTTAGCTACAATGGGAAGTATATGATTACAATATATTTTTATTTTTAATTACGGTACAATTTTAACTTTCCTACAGTGTACTTACAGTAAGCGAACACCAACAAATTGAATATTATCCTAACGTTGAGCCGAGCTGCATACATCGGACGCCGGATGGTTAAGTCGGTGAGCTATAGCCTATGAACATGAGGCCCTGGTACGATTTTGGTAGAATAGTCGTCGCATTCGAAACAAAGAAATTATTTTATGGGGTTTTTAAATAAATGTCGCTCGTTTTTAAGTATAAAATGTGTTTTGATACTGTTATACTATAGTCTATATTACTATAGTTATGAACCTAATTGTTATAAAAAAAGTTCAAAAATCGTGTTAATTTCATTAATTTGAAAATTCTTATAATCACTTGACACCAAATTAACTCAATACTTGTAGTACTGCACATAAGAGTATAGGCATTAAATTTTAGTATAAACATGTACCTTTGTGCTACATTTCAGGTTTCTACCAATACGGTAAGTGCCTTATAATTTTGATGATGAGTGTGTAAGTACCTTACAAAAATGTAAACTTTGATATTCTCCCTCTTTGAAAAGGCTCAATTTGTGCAGTGTCCAAAGGTACTTAAGTTAAATGTATGTTTCAAATTTCAAATGTCCATATAAGGAGGAAGCAGAGATATGAGGGTGAGAAAACCCAAATGAATTGGTTCATGTAGGTATTTATACACTGGTATTCTTGAAATTTACCTTGGCGCACTGTCAAGTTGATATTCC